TTCCTCTGCTCAGATCCCTCGATCATCTGAATCTCCTCCACCTCTCCCCCTGGCTGAATATCCATCTTCTCTTTACCCTTGTCCATTCTCTGCTTATCTTCTTTCGACCTCGACCCACTTGGTCGACTAATCCCCTCCTCCTCTGACTTGGCCTGTCTTTTTGCCAGTCGCTTATTATTGCTCACCATCGTTTGGTAGCAGCTCCTCGAAGTGAGTTGGTCCCTGGCAATTTCCCCTACGTTTTCGCCCACCGGATATTTAATCGTCATGTGGTACGTGGATGCGACCGCCTGGAACGCATTCAAGCTTGTCCGTCCCATAATGATATTATAAGATGATTCAGCTCCTACGACCACAAACCTCACCATGCGCACCTTCCTCAACTCTCCCACTCCCAGCGCTACCGGCAAACTCACCTCGCCCATCGGCATCACCTCTCCTCCATTAAAGCCATAGAGTGCCGTGGTCACCGGTTTCAACTCCGCATTCAACTCCTTGTTAATCTGCACAAAACAGTCATAGAACATCACATCCACCAAACTCCCGATATCAATGAACACCCTCTTCACATCGAAGCCTGCAACCTCCGCGGTTATCACCAAAGCATCGTTGTGCGGCAGGACCACCCCCTCGGCATCCTCCGCCTTAAAACTTATCACCGGCATGCGGGCCGTAATCCCCACATCCGCTCTCTTCCTCTTCACCGCTCGAGCATGCTCCTTCCTGGCCCTATTTGAGTCACCATCCGTTGGCCCACCGAAAATCATGTAAATCGTCCCTCTATTCATTGGGGCCTCTCCTCCATGCCCTCCCTTATCTCCATCTCTCCTTGGCTTCTTTCCTCGACCGTCTCGACCATCTCCCTCCTCATCTCTATCACTCTTTTCTTCCGAGTCTTCCCTACACCTTCTCCTCCCTTTCCCTTTCACCCTATCATGATACACAAATTCTTTCAAATATCCTGCTCGAATTAACCTTTCGATCTCGTCTTTCAAATGTCTACAGTTCTTCGTGGTGTGACCATAATCTCGGTGAAAACGACAGTAAATATCTGACCTAGGTCGAATTGGGCCTGTAAACCTCGTCTTCGGCCAAGTCACATCCTCGCTCGGCATCTTCTGCTCCATGGCCTCGAGGACCTCTGTCATATCTTTCCTCAAGGGTGTAAAGGTATGATATCTCTGCCTCTCTAACAACATCGGCCTCCTATGCCACTCACCCCTCTTTTCCCTTTTCGAATCTCGACTCTCTCTTCGGGGTGACGCCCTCTTCTGCCCACTCCGCTTGGGCGAATTTCTCCTCGGCGATCTCCCCCGTTGCGGACTTTTCTCCTTTTTTGGTTTTGGTCGAGCTACTCCCTCCAGCTTTGCAAAATCCATCTCTATTTCCTCCAAGTTAATATACTTCCTGCACCGCTTCAGAACATCCTCATATGATCGAGCAGGGGTCTTTGCCAGGGAAGTTCGACAAGGCCCTGCTCGAAGACTCCTTATCAATCCACCCGCCTTCACCTCGTCCGAATCCGAGTGCACCTCTAAACATGTTTGGTTATATCGAGCAACATACTTATTCAATGACTCCTTCTCCCCCTGCCTCATCGCTATCAAAGTCAAATACGTTTTCTCCTGCACCACTGCGCTCGAATATTGATTGATAAGCTTGCCAGTAAAGTCCTCAAAGCTCGCGATCGACCCAGGGGGTAATTGATGAAACCAATCAAGTGCTCCTCCACGCAGGGTCGATAAAAATGCCCTGCAGCAAACAGAATCAGAGTATCCATGCAACACAGCCATATTTTCAAAGGTCCTCACATGCATCGATGGGTCAGATGACCCATCATACACCAAGTTGGTCTCCTTGAAATTATTTGGCAAAAGAGCAGCGAGAATCTCCCTTGAAAAGGGATGTCCTCGAGCTCTCCTCTCTGGCATCCTCTCCACCTTGTCCTGCAGCTGGCGCAACTGCTCTGCCATCCTCTCCATTGTCCGATCTCTTCCCGGTCCTCCTTCTCCATAACTAGAAACATCCTCATCCTGGCTTCCGGCCACCGTGGTCGGCGCAGTGGTGGCATGAGATGTATGACTCGCGACTTGTTGCACCGCCTGCGCCGCCGCGGCCGCCGCTATCCTCTGCATCTCCTCTCGTGTCATCGCCACCATTTGTTGGTCGGGGGCTTGTACAGCTGCCTGTGGTGGCACTCCTCCTTGCGCCATCGCTCCTCCCTGCCCTTGTGTTGGATCTGGTGGCGGTGGTGGTGGCATCGCCGCTGCTGCTACTACACGAGCCTCCTGGGCCCGACTGGAGCTGGCATCTCCTCCGGGAATTGCCGTCGTCACTCCCACACCTTGAAGGATAGGTGCGGGATTTATCAGAGTCTGCGATGGGCCGGAAAAACCCGGAGGAGGGCCGTGCCCCAACGGCCTGGTCATCGTCCAAGCTTCGTCGAACGTTGACTGCAAGTTTTTAGGATTTCCGTCCGCCATAGATGAGCTTCAAACACAACTTTTTGAACAAGGAATCCCCACAGACGGCACCAATAATACAAGCGTAAGCGTCCTGGTCTGGTTCGGGATAGATCGGTTCTTGTCCTCGCCGGTAGAACACCGGAAACCTGCAAATAACTCTCACACTGGGGGTTGTGTCCGGTGAAGAGCCTCCGATGCTTAAGTCAGTATGTGTCTGAGTATACTTAAGTGAAGTATGGAAAACAGAATGTGTTGAGGGAGAAAAGCTCACCCCCTTTATATAGGGGTGAGATACCTGCCCTAATAGCTGCCCGGATAAGGTGAGCTGGCTACCTAAGCTGCTCGTCCGTACTCTGACACACCGCGCGCATGTCAGAGGTTGCGCGGGGGCGTTGGGGAGCTGTCAGAGGTGGTTATCGATATCCACCAATGCATTCTTGACACGTGCCCCCCTGCACATGGGGCAAATATTCTCCTGAGATTCGGTTGGAGGTTCCTGCACGCGCCTGTGACTAGGCCGACTGTTGGGTCCTCGAAGTGATCGACCGGATGAGGTCGAATAGAATGCTCGATCGCTTGTCTGGTCGAGCGATGGATTGGTCGACTACCCGCCTGGTCGACTATCTGAATGTTCGATCTTCTCGCTTCTTCACTTGGCTTCCTCGTAGTTTGGTCTTCTCGACCGGCTGATTAGACCGGTTTATCCTTGTGTATATAATATCCCATATCAGGTATGTAGATAAATATTGTTTAATGTGATTATGTTTGAAAGTGACAATAGAAAAAAAAACACTTGTTAAAAAATATAATAATGTTCAAGCTCAATCTTAGATAAAATATGGATTATGAGTTAAGGTATGTAGATAAATATTATTTAATGTGATTATGTTTGAAAGTGACAATAGAAGAAAACCACTTATTAAAAAATTATAATAATGTTCAAGCTCAATCTTAGATAAAATGTAGAGTATGAGTTAAGGTATGTAGATAAATATTGTTTAATGTGATTATGTTTGAAAGTGACAATAGAAGAAAACCACTTATTAAAAAATATAATAATGTTCATGCTCAATCTTAGATAAAATGTAGATTATGAGTTAAGGTATGTAGATAAATATTGTTTAATGTGATTATGTATGAAAGTGACAATAGTGGAAAACCACTTATTGAAAAATATGTAAGTGCTGAAGATTGGTAGTACATCGATGAACCTTCTGATGTTCGCAGAGTCCAGAAATTTACAAAAGTATTTAAGGGAAGTTTATTTTTGGTATGAATAAGTCTTAATTTTAATTAAGTCCAAAGGACTGATTATTTATTTTATATATTGATAGGACCTTGGGATTTAGGGGTAGATGCACTTTCCATAATCTAAAGAGAGGAGGATCGCGAGATTTACTTTCCATAATCTAAGGAGAGGAGGATCGCGAGATTTACTTTCCATAATTGAAGAAGAAAAAGTTTAAGAGATTTTCATTCCTTATCTGTGTTTGTCTTGGATGAGAAGACTTTCCAAAGGGTGCTGAAGATAAAAGGACGACGAGCCTAGAGTTGAGGATGACTTTTCGAATCTGAATTTTTGAGTTAGATATTTTTTTCTTTCCTTGAGTGAAAAAGAGTGATATTCAGAACTCTTTGTAAAAGAACGTTCGGAGGTTCGTTCTTATCGTTTTGAGGGATTCGAACTAGAAAATCCACAAGGGAGTTGTGGTCGGATAAGTAGTTGTGTGAATCATTATTCAAGTAGAGTCTAGAGGGAGTCTATACTGTGAACCCTTGGATGATGTATGAGTTGTTCACATTAATGAAAGAGATCTGAAGGGAGAGTGGGATGCTCTCCTGAAGGTTCAATTTTTTAGTGAAAAACTGCTTCCGCAATTGGTTGAAACTTCCTTACTATCTGTTTATTCGATTTACGTGCAACTCTGGATACTTGGGGTTCAAGTATCAAATTCAATTGGCACCGGATCGGGTTTTCGTCTTCATTACGAAAGATCCTAGGACGTGTGTTACCCTCAAATCATGAATAAAGAAAGCGGATCGATGTCCAGGCCCCCGCAATTGGACGGTTCGAACTACTCATATTGAAAGTCTATGATGACAATCTTTCTATGATCGCTTGGAAAAGGCATGTGGGAAAGTGTTAAAAATGGCTGGGAGCATCCAGTCATGCAACAAGCACCCGATCAAGGTAAAGAAACAACGAAAGTCACGGTTTCTAAACCTAAGGACAACTGGACTGATGCTGAGAAGCTTCAAGATGAAGCCAACAATCATGCCTTATATGCGATTATGATGGCAGTTGATCAGACAAGACACAAGATGATAGTTCATTGCAAAACTGCAGAAGATGCTTGGAGGGTCTTACAACGTCAATTTGAAGGTTCAACGGCTGTCAAAGCGTCCAGACTTCAACGGGTAACTCTTGAATTTGATGAGATCAAAATAAGAGATGAAGAGACAATTGATGTATACTATGCTAGATTCTGTGATCTGGTAAATCAAAGCATGATGCTCGGAGAAGAAATCTCTGAGAAACGTCAAGTACAAAAGATTATGAGAACCATCGTTTTGAGGTTGAGAGAGAAAATCACAGCTCTTGAAAGTTTCCAAAGAGTGGCGCCGTTGGATGTTGAACTTCTTGGAGAGCTCAGAACTTTTGAAATCAACAACAATTATGACAAAGTCACAAGTAAGGGCTTAGCTCTCAAAGCTGCTGTAGTCGAGGAAAGAGAAGAAAGCAATGACGATGAAGGTCCGTTGGCAGATGATAGTGAGCTGAAAGAAGCACTAGCTTTAATCGCGCGAAACTATGGGAAGATGAGTCAAAGGCTGTACAAGAACAAATTTGCTGGAAAAAAGGGGAACAATTTCAACAAGAATGTGGTGCAGGACAAGAAAACTAGTATGCCACTCTTAAAATCCGATTCACAACGAGTCGAGAAGGATCAATGCAGGGAGTGTCGAGGCTTTGGACACTTCCAGTATATGTGTGCTAATCTTAAGGAGAAGAATAAGTCACTGAAGGCAACCTGGGAAGATTCAGATGAAGAAGGCACAGACGAACCTTCGTTACACACAAGCAACCTGGCAGTTCATACCTCAGTCAAGAAGTTAATGTGTCTCACCACTTCTCATGCTCCGACCAAGTTTGAAGAAAGTTTGAAAGAAACTAAAGCTTCTGAGGATGAAGCGAATCAAAATGTGTGTGTAGATCCAGTTCACTTACTTGCTATGGAAAAATGTGCTCAAGCATCTGAAGCACTACAGAAGCTTCAAAATGAAGTGTTTAGACTTTCAAGAGCAAACAGGGTGCTGAACGAACATGCATCCGCCTCCACTGCTACTACTGTGAACTGGATAATACAAAAGGCACGAACTTGCATCCTTGAGAGCAATGTCAAACTTGCTAAACAAGACGGACTAGAGAAGGCTTAGAACATTGAACGCTTGAGGACCGACTATTCTCTACTCAGCAACTTCTTGCCGAGCGGAACCAGGAAATCATACTACTGAAAAATGAAGCTGTTCGGCTAATGAACGGACATGCTAGCATGGAAAGCAAACTGAAGACAAATTTTGCTGAGTTGAACCGAACTGTAGAAGTTATTCAAAAACTGAACAAGGGAAAAGCATATCTGAATAAACTCCTTTCCTTGGGAAGACAACATGGTGATCTTACTGGAATAGGGTACACTGGTAGGGAAGACATTCCTGTGTCCTCAACTGGAACTTCAAATACAAAACATACTGGTCTTGCATTTGGGGACAAACTTGGAGTTGGAGGTATGAACCTCCATGGGAGACCTTCCAAAAACGTGTTTGACAGGTTTGTAAAAAGCACTGTAAGTAATCCTCTATCTCCACCATCTCCCTTGAAGGTTCATTCTCCCATGCAAAAATCTGTTAATAAAATCACCATAATTTTGTTCCTATCTGTCATTACTGTGGTGTCACATAAGACCCAAATGCTATAAAATGCAGCATGATCTTTGTACAGGTAACGTTAGGGGTTGGAATCAGTCTGGCGTTCCAGTGAAGGTCCATTCCAGGACTCTCTCAAATAACCGTACCAAAACTCATCAAGTGTAGGTTGCTAAGAAATCCTTCAACTGCTTTGCCTCTGTTTTGTCCCTCAGGACCTCCCAGAAAAGTAAGTGGTATCTGGACAGCGGCTGCTCTAGACACATGACTGGTGAACCTTCTTACTTGATGAACATTCAGCCCAATTCAAATGGGGAAGTCACATTCGGTGGTGGAGTGAGCAATAAGGTTATTGGAACTGGCTGTTTAAATTTGGGTGGAATACCTAAACTAACTGATGTGTTACTTGTTGATGAACTAAAGGCAAATCTTTTGAGTGTGAGTCAACTCTGTGATCAAGGCCTTAGTGTTAGTTTCTCATGTGATAAGTGTTATGTGAAAGACAGTGAAGGTTCTTGTGTACTTACAGGTTCTCCTTCAACGGATAATTGTTATCTTGTTGATTTTAATGAAAAATGCCTTTTTCAAATGTGAGCGAACCTAAAATATGGCATCAACGCTTAGGGCATATTGGATACTCTCACCTTGTCAAATTGACCAATGCAGGTGTAGTCAGGGGTGTTCCAAAGATTGCTGTGAAGGACCAGCCAATTTGTGAACCTTGTCAACTAGGTAAGCAAACGAGGACATCCCACAAGTCATTGAACCATATTGCTTCTAAACAGATCCTAGAACTTCTTCACATGGATCTCATGGGTCCCATTCAGGTACAAAGCTATCAAGGTAGAAAGTATATTTTTGTGTGCGTTGATGATTTCTCTCGATATACTTGGGTTGATTTTTTGTGTGAAAAGTCTGACACATTCTATGCCTTTAAGTCACTTTGTTTGAAGTTTCAAACTGAGAAAGGTTTTCCCATAACAAGTATTCGAAGCGATCATGGAAGAGAGTTTGAAAACTCTGAGTTTGCTGAATTTTGTGATTCTCTGGGTATTAGTCACGAGTTCTCGGCTCCTAAAACTCCTCAGCAAAATGGAGTTGTTGAAAGGAAGAATCGCACTCTACAAGAAATGGCCAGAGTCATGTTGAACTCCAAAAACATTTCTTCCAGATGGTGGGATGAGGCAATCAATACAACATGCTACTTCGTGAATCGTGTGTACCTTCGTTGAGGTATTGGTCTGACTTCATATGAACTCTGGAAAGGTAAGAGCCCTAACCTCAGCCACTTGCATATTTTTGGGTGTAAATGTTTTATCTATAATGATCGTGTCCAACTTGGGAAGTTCGATGCAAAATCGGATATTGGATTCTTTCTTGGTTACTCTAACAATAGTCGAGCGTATCGTGTTTAAAACACAAGTACCTCCACTGTGATTGAGTCCATAAATGTAATCTTTGATGAAAAAAATTCTCAAGTTAGTTCCTCTGTATCCTTTAATCAGTTTGAAAATGTTGAGGTATTGCAGGATACTCGGGGTGTTAAGAGTTCTGCAGACAAGGAGATAGCTGAACCTTCTGTTGGGGATGCTGTAACATCAACTAACTACATTGTCCCTACAGCTCAAGAAGGTTCTGTGTCACTTAGGCATGATCCACCCTTATGGGTTCAGAAAGACCATCCACCCGAGCAAGTCATTGGTGACATAAACGAGATAGTAACCAGAAACTTGAAGACGTCAGTCAAAGAACTTATGGGTGTTTCTCATTATGCCTGCTACACCTCACTCCTTGAACCCAAGAATGCTAAAGAGGCTCTGAAAGATGAGTGCTGCATCTTAGCCATGCAGGAGGAACTGGAGCAATTCACTAGAAACGATGTCTGGGAGTTAGTCCCTGAACCTTCCTTGGGAAATGTTATCGGAACAAAGTGGATCTTCAAGAACAAAACTGATAAGTTCGGGAATGTGAAACGGAACAAGGCGAGACTAGTAGCTCAAGGCTACACTTAGACTCAAGGGATTGATTTTGATGAAACCTTCGCCCTCGTTGCTAGACTTGAATCAGTACGTATATTTCTATCTATTGCATGTCTAATGAAGTTCATTATTTATCAGATGGACGTGAAGTATGCCTTTCTGAATGGGGTATTACATGAAGAGGCTTACATCAAGCAGGCAGAAGGGTTCAAAGATCCCAAGAATCCGAATCATGTCTACAGGCTTAAGAAAGCATTGTACGGATTAAAGCAAGCGCCTCGTGTGTGGTATGAACGCCTTACCATGTACTTCCTGGAAAAGGGATTTAAGAGAGGAGGAGTAGATCCGACATTCTTTGCTCTTCAAACGAATGAGGACCTATTGGCTGTTCAAATCTATGTCGACGACATCATCTTTGGATCAACATCCAAGAAGCTGGTCAATCACTTTGTAAAACTTATGTCGTCTGAATTCGAGATGAGTCTCGTCGGTGAACTTTCGTACTTTCTTGGACTTCAGGTAAAGCAAGGTAAAGATGGTATTTTCTTGCATCACAGTAAGTATGCAAAAAACCTTGTTAAAAAGTTTGGTCTTGAAAATGCTAAATGTCCTCAAACTCCCATGGGCACTCATGTACAAGTGTCCAAAGATGATGAAGGTACGTCTGTTGATCAAACTCTATACAGAAGTATGATTGGTATCCTTTTTAATCTCACTTCTTGTAGACCTGACATTTGCTTTAGTGTTGTATTGTGTGCCTGGTATCAGGCTGCCCCCAAGGAATCACATATGAAAGCAGTCAAGCATATCATAAAGTACATTGGAGGTACAACAGAGTATGGTCTATTCTACTCTGCTGATACGAACTTACATCTCGTAGGTTATTGTGACGTTGACTGGGCTGGAAATCTTGATGATCGAAAAAGCACCTCTGGTAGGTGTTTTTACATAGGATCAAACTTGGTATCTTGGTTCTGCAAGAAACAAAACTGCATCTCCCTTTCTACTGCTGAAGCCGAGTACATTGCCGCTAGAAGTTGCTGCTCACAGTTCGTATGGATGAAACAGATTCTATCTGAGTATGGTATGAACGTTCATTCGGGTCAACTTTTCTGTGACAACACTAGTGCTATAAATATTTCGAAAAATCCTGTCCAACATTCTTGTACCAAGCATATTGACATTCATTATCATTTTATTCGTAATTTGGTAGAAGATGGGATTATTGTGTTAGATCATGTACCTACAGATTATCAGTTCGCTGATATTTTCACAAAAGCTATTGATTCGAAACGATTTTTGTCCCTAAGAAAATCTTTAGGAATGTGTGCTATATAATTTATGTGCATTGTGTCAGTTGCATTTCTATAAATATATATTCATATAGGATTTTTTTTAGGCATCTTAGTATGTAGGTTCATCCCTGGAATTCTTCTATGATCGATTGTTGAGTTTGTTGATTGGTGGTCTGTGAATTCTAACTAGTCAGTTTGTAAGAGCTCGTCATGATGACCATTTTAATATACTTGTAAGAGCTGCTCTCGTGAAAATAGGCATCGGGCAACTATCACATGAGGTGCTTTCTTGATCACATGTGAAACGAGTTACGTGTCTAATAATAATCGAGGTGTGATAGCTACAGATAACCATTCTAATAATGAACGTTCTCTGGTGAAATAAGGTTGGCCATCCTGATATCTTCTCAGCTTGTTCAAAATTAGAACTTTTTGCGGGATGATTCACACCTCAAGTAATGGGCTTTACATTGGCGTATAGTTGATGTTAGTAAGTGAACTGGTGTGGAAGTTCATAGAACGTTGTAAGCTCATCATAAGTATTGGGGCTGAATTGCGAACGAAATTTTATTTTTTGCTAAGAGAAAGTGATGAACGAACTTATGTTAATTTCGTGTTGTATAAAAGTGGCAGCAATAAGGGCTGAGTTGTGCACGTAGAGAATTTATTTTTCTCATCATCTTGTTAGTGTCGAGCTCGTCTCAAATTGATTTGGAAAGATTTGTAGGTCAATAAATTAATGGATCTTTTCAATATTGCGTGAAAAGAAAATTCTAGGGTATTGCGTGTCAAGTATCTTATTTAGGCATGTGCATCCAGTCTTTCTCATGGCATATATTATTTCGATCTTGCGCCTAAAATTATTTTTGGTACATGATTTAGCCGATATTCGTGTCTAAAACTTCATGCGTTATAGATGGTAACTGTATCAATTAGATTGGTAAGTGATCTTTTTGGAGGGAATGGTTTTTATTGTCCATTGTCGTGTTGGTCAATTTTTTTTTCAAAATTCAAATTCTGAGCCGAACTGTCTTGTAACTGCCTTGGTTACTGTGATTTATGTTTCCTATATCATCCTTATCACCTTTGCTTCTCTCTCATATCAATCGTAATCTCTGATTTGTTTATTCTTCTAAAACTCTCTAACATTCCTTCTTCAAGAGAATCTATACCTCTTGACAATGCCTAAATCTAAGCAGGGCACCATGAAGCCGAAGAAGAATGTTCCTTCTCCATCTCGACATTCAACTCGTCAAAGCCAAAGTTCCGATACTCCACCAGATCCAACTCCTTCAACCATGGCAACTGAGGACATTCAACCTCCCGTTAAATCCACAACTAGGGTTTGTCCAAGCCCTAAAAATCCTCAACGAAAAAAGTTTCTCAACCTAAAGTCGCCGAAACCAGTGACAAAGGAGGAAAAGGTTCTCCCTCTGTCGTCAAATCTCTAAAGAAGCGCAAGAAGGTCGCCGAAACTGCCGCACCTAAAACCAAAAAGGCAAAAAAAGTCGTTCATGTGCCTGAACCTGCTGCTGGTACTCCTTCTCACACGAAATCTGGAGGAGAGTCGTCTCCGGATTCTGATGCTGATTCTGTTGAACGTGAGGTTACCAACTATGTTGTTGAACCTGAGAAACTAGACAACAAACATGCTGCGGACAAGGAACTTTCTCCTCTTGAGAAAGAAAAAATCATTGCTAAAGTCGAGGGTGATGGTCCAGACAGTCCTCTTACTGTTGGTAATGCTTTCTC